TTTCCCTGTCCACAAGGAAACACATGTTCATCTAGACACACAAAATTTCTTTCCTGGTCTCTTGTAGAGTGAGGGGCAGGTGATGGCCCTTCACCCACAGTGCACTTCCTAAAATCAGGAGGTGCTCACAGACAGGAGACACTGGATCACAGCAGGTCATTATCACACCTGGCCCCAGTGAAGACGTCTGTGCTAATAGAAAACCCGCTTGTTACTGCATCCGTCAGTCTGTCCACCTTGTTATCTTGGAATCCTTGCCCATCTGTTTTGTGCTACACGGTGCTGACTTGAGCAGCTCATGAGTGCTGCCCTGTAGTTGGCACATTGCCTTCAGTCTGGTTTGTCTGGTGTTTGCACTTGCCTGTGCTGTGAACTACACCCTTAGTCAGAACGGCACAAGACGGAACTCTGGCACATGGACGCATAGGTTGCTCAGTTGCATCACTGCTGTGGGGTGAGGTGAGCTCAGTAGGTGTCTCATCACTTGTGTGGGGCTGGAGTGGGTTCCACAGTCGTCCCCTGTGTTTCCATTACCAACGGGTGTCATTTTAGAAAAGACATGCCTTGGTACTCAGACTCCTGCATCTTCTTCCTAAGTTTTGCTGGAATTTTGTTTGCCAAGTAGTGCCTTTCTCTTAGCCATCATTCTTCCTCTGGAAGGAGGTACTGTTTCTTCTCTGTCCTTGTCACGTATGTAGGTGTGAACTTCTGAACATTTTGTTCAAAGGGGAACAGTACTTATTGCTATTGATTGTTTTGTTTTTGAGACGGTTTCTTGGTGAAGCCCTGGCTGTCCTGGAACTTGTTTGATAGACCAGGCTGGCCTCACAGAAATCTGTCTGCTTCTGCCTCCCAAGTGCTGGGATTAAAGGTGTGCGCTACCACTGTGTCTGGAATTGTTTTTTTTTTTTTAAGATTTTTACTTTATCAGAAGGCAGAGGCAGGCGGATCTCTGTGAGTTGAAGACCAACCTGGTCTACAAGAGCTAGTTCCAGGACAACCTCCAAAGCCACAGAGAAACCCTGTCTGGAAAAACAAAAAACAAAAAACAAAAAAAACCAAAACAAAAAGATTTTTACTTTATATGTGTTTTGCCAATGTGTGTCTGTGCGCCATGTGTGCTGGTTTGCCAACAGAGGTCAGAAGACGTTTTGGGTGCTTTGTAACTGGGGTTTCCCATGATTGTGAGTCAGCCACCATATGGGTTCTGAGAATCAAATCTGTGTCCTCTGCAAGAGCAAAAAGTGCTCTTAATCACTGAGCCAGCTCTCCAGCCCCAGAGGTTTTTGTTTGTTTGTTCAATGACTGTTTTATTGTTTGTTTGTTTATTTGTTTGTTTTGGTTTTTTTGAGACAGGGTTTCTCTGCCTCTGCCTCCCAAGTGCTGGGATGAAAGGTGTGCACTAGCACCACCTTGCTGGCTCAGAGCACAATACTCTTATAGAGGATTCACATTTAGATCTTAGTTCCCATGTCAGGTGGTTCACAGTCACCTGTACTACAACTCTGAAGTATCCAACTCCCTCTTGTGGCCACTGAAAGCTCCTGCACTCACATGCACATACTTTGGCATAGACACAAGTACACATAACTAAAAATGTAAAACTTAGCCATACACCTCTAATTCCAGCACACAGAAGACAGAGGCAGGTGTATCTCTGAGTTCCTAGCCAGCTAGTGATATATAGTGAGACCCTATCTCAGAAAACAAAGAGCCGGGCGGTGATGACATGCGCCTCTAATGCCAGCATAGGGAGGCAGAGGTAGAGGCAGAGGCAGGAGGATCTCTGAGCTCAAGGCCAGACTGGTCTACAGAGGACAGCTAGGACACAGAGAAGTCTTATTTGGAAAAACCAAAATGAACAAGGAGTATGCTCTTGTAACTGCTGAGTCATCTCTCTGTCCCTGTTTCTGTTGATTCTAATGCTCACGGTATCGTTGGTAGGACCCATGTGAGTCTGCCAGTCACTTCTGTAACATTCACCTGTCACCTTTTGACCAGGTCAGCTTGGTATTCTGCTTGGCTTGTCCATTCTTTGGGTCTCTGAGAGCCTGCTTCCTCTTTGGGGAGACAGCCATTAGAAGCAAAGTCTCAGGCTGTGCATGGTAGTGTACAGTTAAATCCAACACTTGAGAGGTTGAGGCAAGAGACCCCAAGTTTAAGACCTTTCTTAGGGTGTGTTTATAGTTTCTAGATCACAGAGACCTGTAGAGAGAGAGAGAGTGTGTGTGTGTGTGTGTGTGTGTGTGTGTGTGTGTGTGTGTCGTCAGCAGACTAAGCTCACTCTGGCTCTTCTCATCCCGACAGCCTGCAGTGCCCTACATTGCCCCTGTGGAACGGTAGCCTGGGCTACTGTAGGAGACGGTGTTGTCTGTTCCTCTTGTCTGGATTGTGAAACTCCAAGTTATGGGAGTCTTCATCAACTTTCTCTAGCGCCTTCTCTTCCCTCTTCTCTACCCTTTGTTTCAGTACAGTTTGAAGGATGGGGTGTAACTCCTGTAGAACTCCTGCCTAGCATGTACAAGACCCTCGTTCAGTCCCTAGCACTACAAAAACAAAAATAATTGGGTCTTTTTTTTTCCCGAGACAGGGTTTCTCTGTGGCTTTGGAAGCTGTCCTGGAACTCACTCTTGTAGACCAGGCTGGTCTCGAACTCACAGAGATCCACCTGCCTCTGCCTCCCAAGTGCTGGGATTAAAGGTGTGCTCCACCACCACCCGGCCTTCTGCTTTCATTTTCTTTAGGACCTACCTTCCCCCTTGTAGGCTTTAACTCCCTTTTGTGAGAATGTGAAACATGTCCCTGGTTCTGAAATGACAACCAAAGGAGAGCCCAGGAAAGGGCATTCTTCTCTGACTCTGTCATTCCAGAGCTGAACCAGCTCATCTTTCTTGTCACAGATCCCAGCATGGTCAGTGCCTACATGTACCCAACAGGTGCCCCTGCGGCACAAGCAGCCCCACAGGCCCAGGCGGGGCCCACCACCAGCCCTGCCTACTCTTCCTACCAGCCCACTCCAACCCCAGGCTACCAGGTATGTGGGCAAGGTCATCCTCTGTCCTCTGCTCCCAGCCCTTGCCTGTCCCTCACATCCACCCCTTCCTTCCATAGACTGTGGCTTCTCAGGCTCCGCAGAGCCTCCCAGCCATCTCCCAGCCTCCACAGACCAGCACCATAGGCTACATGGGGAGCCAGCCAATGTCCATGGGTTACCAGCCGTACAACATGCAGGTAAAGAGACCCCGTCTCTGCCGGGCATAAGAGGACGGATCCTCCCCTTCTAGGCTCTCACTTTTGTTTTCTTCAAGCCAGAAGGGTCTGTGTGTGTCTCTCTGGTCACAGACTACTCAGTGTCCATCTTACTCTCCACAGAGTCTCATGACCACCCTTCCAGGCCAGGATGCATCTCTGCCAGCCCAGCAGGCCTACATCGCAGGGCAGCAGCCCATGTACCAGCAGGTGAGCCATCTCCAGGGCCCTTCCCCAGCCCTTGAACTCTTGGGTGTCCTTTGATCACCTGCATTAGGTTCATACCCAGGGGCTTTTTTCAGCCATCAGTGCAAACACATACATCCATATGCATGCATAGGAGAAGACAGATTTACAGGAGCCTCATGAGTGCACTGGCAGTGTGGGCAACAAGCGGAAGCCTACTCTGTGCTAGGATGAAGCTTGTTCTGAACAAAAGCTCTGTGTGTGAGATTGATGAGGCCTGTCTGCTCTTCCTCCTCTCCAGATGCCACCCTCTGCTGGCCCTCCCCAGCAGCAGCCCCCTGTGGCCCAGCCACCACCTACACAGGGACCGCCAGCACCGGGCAGTGAAGCCCAGCTCATCTCATTCGACTGACCTTGAGTCTAGCACTCACCATCCAGAGTAACACTACGGTTCACCAGAAACCAATTATGTGTCTAAGTAGCCATCTCTTCCCCCATTACTGCCCTATAGTCTCCATTCTCCTGTGAGCAAGGAGTGGCCCTTCACCCTTGACCCTCTCCCATGTCCTCAGTGGTCTGGTTCCTGTCACTGGTTCCCTGCTTTGATCCTGATGCAGTCTGACTTTTCCCAAGGCTGGGACTCTGCAGGGCAAGTAGGACCTTCTCTGGGGAGTATCCAGCTCTGTGTTGGGCCTGCCTCAGGTGACTGCTGTGGGGATGCTTAGCCTGTCCCAGAGAGCCCTATGTGAACTGTGTGGTATCCAGGCATGGCTCTGGTACTCTGAAAGAAACATTTGCTCCAGCACAGCACAGGTGGAGGCTTCAGGCATCTCTAGCTTCCCTGCTCCTCAGTTGTCATCTCTCCAGTGCAGAACAGTGATAATAAAGTGTATTTCAAAAGCTGTCATGTGTGTCTGTTCAGTTTTGGACCAGAATGTGAGGGTACTTTTCATTGCCGATAGTTCTAGAGTTTGGGAGGTGCTGGTCACGAAGCCTTGGGAAGGTCTCCTTGCTGGTGGGGACTCTATTGATTCACATGGCACAGAATATCACCCAGTAGTTGAACAAAGGCACAAAAGTGGACTTTTACAGCCATAATGGGTCCCAACCACTGCTTGAGGTTTCACACCCTGGAAAGTCCATTTCCACCTGACTTGTGGTCGGGACATTAAAGCCATCAGTTTCCCTCCAGGCTAAGCACCTGCCTGGTGTGCACTCAAACCTCCCCAGCAGGCATTGGGGAGAGCAGGCATTCGCCTAGGAAAGAGCTCTCCTTGGGCTGGAGAGATGGCTCAGAGGTTAATCTGCTCTTCCGGAGGTCCTGAGTTCAATTCCCAGCAACCACATGGTGGCTCACAACCATCGGTTATGAGATCTGATGCCCTCTTCTGGCCAGCAGGCATGCATGGAGGCAGAGTGTTGTAGACGTAATAAATAAATAAAATCTCAAAAAAAGAAAGAAAGGAGAAAGGGGCTCCTGGCATTGGCGGAAGGGTTCCAGGCTTCTAGGACAATGTTTTGGGCCCTTGGGTTAGGCTTAGGGCTCTGGACTCCGTATATCGCTAATGTCTTGGACGAGTGAGGCCGCGGCGAGCTCCTTGCGCGGAGGGCGCCTGTGTATTCCGCGGGAGAGACAAAGAGACGCCTCCCAGACCCTTCCGGGGAACTGCTAGCCCGCACTACTTCCGGGCCCACACTGCGCCCGCGCGTCGCGCCGCCTAGTGCGTAATATCCAGGCGCCGACCCAGGCCAGAGCAGCCGTCCTCGGTGCCGATTCCTGGAGGCCTCTCGGCTAGAGCGGCCCGTCCAGCTCGCCTGCTCCCGGCTAGAGCGTCGCTTCCGCGTAGAGCCGCGTGTGACCTTCCCGCCTGCGGAGCTATGCTGCCGGCAGCGGCGGCGGCGGCGAGCCGCCTGTGGGCGCCGCGGCTTGGGCTGCGGGGCGCAGCT